ATCAAAAGAAAACCGAGACATTGAGAAGCTAATGACTCGCAGTTAAGAGGGGAAGAAATAACGGAGCCCATGGGCTGGGTGAGGAGTATTCAGCTGGCTTCCAAGTCTCTCAGCCCCAGGACTTCTCCGTTACATTTCTTTCTCAGGCCTCCTATCCAGGGAATCGCTTGCTTTGGGTTGTTTCCCAGGTTCCCTAGATTTCTCACCATAGGACCCTGAGTGCACTTTTCACTCCATCCTAAGTTTCTTCTCTACGACCTGATTTTCCTTCTGATCTTCCTACCAAGGCCTCTGTCTTTCTCTCCAATCTTTCTAATGACACTTGCAGTCCCTTGCTATCCGCTCAGGAATCCCCCTCTACCCCTGTCACTGTTCTCCAGCTCTCCCTCACAAAGGTGCCCCGGCACGTACTCAGTGCTCAGCCCTGACCTATCTCCTGCTTCTTGCTACTTCTCCCTCAGTGCTGAGGCCTCACACCAACTCCTATCAGGCCAGATTCCTTCCCTCCAGCTCCCGCCCACCCAGCCCCACATCTCCCCCGGCTTCGCGTCCTAGATCGGCAGGCCCCGCCCCCAGCTGCCGATGCCACGCCCCTCGCGCTACGCTCAAGCCCCGCCCCTCACTCACCTGAGGCCGCTCCGCGCGCGCGCAGGCTAAGTGGGTGGGGGCAAGGGGCTGGTGTTGGGGAAAACGGGGGGAGGGCGGCGGGGGTCCCCCACTCTGGCCCGGGCGGCCCAGTGCGGGGGGAGTGAGGTCACTGAGGCGGCGGCAGCCGGGCCGGAGCCAGGACCCGGGCGCTCAGTGGCGGCGGCTCCATCTCCATCAGCGACTTCACCTGAGGAAGGAGCAACCCCCCCTCACGAGCCCCCCCCATCACAGTCGTCCCCCCCACCCCCGAACAACTTCCGGTCCCACTACCGAGCGACAGGCGGCGAGGCTGAACACCGAGCGCCCCCAAGCCAGAGAGACTGCTGGGGAAAGGAGAGGAGCCAGGGGAGAGTAACCGAGCGCCGAAAAAGTTCGAAAGGCGGCGTCTTGGGTGGCAGGTACCGCAAAGACTCCTTCAATTCCGTCTAATTTGAGAACTAGGTGCACATTGGATACCCGCCCTGTCTTGACATGTCTGGCGGATATCCAATCTGCCTTGACATGCCCCTGCGCCTTTTACAACAATATTGATTTTAATCTCTAAACTTCTTTGCCTTTTCTTAAAGCAGCCGTTTTTCAACCTGTCGGTTGCGACCCCTTTGGGGGTGGAATGACCCTTTCACGGGGGTCGCCCGATTCATAACAGTAGCAAAATTAGAGTTAAGAAGTAGCAACGAAAATAACTTTATGGTTGGGGGGGGTCACCACAACATGAGGAACTGTATTAAAGGGTGGTGGCATTAGGAAGGTTGAGAACCACGGTCTTAAAGTGTGCAAGGATTGGAGGGGTGCGGGGCGGGCGAGGTAATTGAGGGTACCAGATATTTTACTCTCTTCTTCAGGGACTTATTGAGGTCAGTCACCCAGGAGGCACTCAGATGCTGACAAGACTGCAGAGAAAGAGCCCCTGCTCCTTGACTTCCCAGCACCTGCCTCCTTCTGCCCTCGTTTCTTTTTAAATGAGTTTCCCTGGACATCCCAGGACCATTAACAACCTCCCACCTGTAACACACTCACTCCCCAGCCCCAAGAGGCTCCAGAGTCACCATCTTAAAAGGGCACTTTATTGATGCAGAACTATAAATGGAAGCGGGTTGCACCCCTCAGCTTACAGCCAGCCCCTGGCCACACAGAGTGGCACAGAGCATAGAACATACATTTTTCTTATACATACCCATATACATTCTTATGTATCCAAGAAATACATCAAAATAAGGCCTACTGGTGAAAGGCTTTAAAGTTGGGCAGAAAGAGAGAACAGAGCTTTTCCCCACTTAATTTCTCACTTCTAACCCTTGGCTCCAACAGAAATTCTATACAGGCACCAAGTCAGAAACAAGGAAGTATATGTCACAGTGTCAATGGAGGGAGTGTGCTTGGGTGGAAACGTGCAACATGTGTACCTGTGAATAGCTCAGGGAGGCTTGGTACGAGATTGTACTCCAAGAGTGAGAAAGAAAGGTTTTCCTGTGGCGATGAGGGCCAGGGGGTGGGTGGGTGTGGAAAGGGGCGGAGAAGCTGGCTCTCGAGGTGCAGATGATTCCATTCCAGGTTCTCATGGAGTGACACGAACATGGACCCGATGCCAGGCAGTGCTGAGCACACCTCTCAGGTTCCAGATTGGAGCCACAGTGTCTGGCTGCACATTGTAGCTATCATCCACCGCCTTACAAACAATGTTCAATTCTTTTTGCCCAGCGGGCACAGGGGCTTGCAGCTGCCATAACCGCCAGGCCCAGGCTTTCCGGGGGCGCTGTTTCTCTCCATCCAGCTCAGCCACCTGCCAGGTTAGGCCTCCATCCAGAGAAACATCCACCCGGATCACAGCCCTCCCACCACCGCTCCAAGCGTAGCCCTTCACAGTCACCTCCCCAGCCTCTATCGTCTCCCCATCCTGGGGCTCTGTGATGGCTGATTGAATAGGGAGTTCCTGAATAGATGGAGCAGAGTCAAAATCTACAGTGTCCCAGTCCACAGATGGAGAGAAGCCTTTGTAATCCCGCCGCTGCCAGTGGCTGTAACTCTCCTCTGGCTCCACACTCACTTTGCCCAGCCACTTCACATGGCGGGCACCTACCACTCCAGGAACCACCACCCGCACAGGAAAGCCATGGTCCCGAGGCAGAGGCTGCCCGTTCATCTCATATGCTAGCAGAACTTCCGCTTCAGGATCCAAGGCATGAGCCAGAGGGATAGAGGCTCCATAGGCAGTTCCAGTGGGGTCTGAGTCTAGCCCCACAAAGCAAACGTGGGCCTCACTTTCAGAGAGGCGGTGACCAGCCTGAGCTAACACATCACAGAGCCGTGCCCCAGTCCAGCGTGCTGTACTGATGGCCCCTGTCGTCCACTCCAGACCTTTTACTTTTTTGACCTTAGTCATCTCAGCGCGCCGGTTGCCAGCACATTGCACAGTGACTGTGACCTCATGCTTGGGGAACTGGTACAAGTCATCCAAGGACAGGGACAGTGACTCACACCCAGGTGGCCCGACTATGTGCAGGCGATAGGTGTCTGGATCCAGGTGAGGTACAGGGAGATGATTCCGAGTAAAGAAGAGAGGATTGGGTGTGATATAGCTTTCCGTCAGCAGTTCAGGGGGTGTCTCTGCATTAAAAGGGCGCTGGCTATTGACTTTCAGTGCAGGGTGACGCAGAGGATCACCAGCATAAGGGTCAGAGGTATCCAAGGTGGGAGGTGCCTTTTCTTTGGGGTTCAATTCCCCGATCTTGTACTGAGCCAGAACCTCACGTATATGAGGCTGGTTGTGAACAGCATAGAGGGCCCAGAAAGGCTCTAAGGGACCCCCAGCTGCCAGCATCAGTTTTGATGGTCCCCCTGGGTGTAGGTCTAAAAATTCTGTAACATCAAAGACTTCATGACCCAAAGTCACCCAGATTCCAGTCTTTGGGCTGTTGTGGGAACTTACTTCCTCCCTCGTGTACAGGGGTGGTGACTCCTGAGCAGCCTGCAGGCCGGAAAGGTGAGGCAGAGGAGAACAGAGTATTAAGAAATTATCCTAGCTCACCCCAACCCAACTCACAAGTTTTGATCACCAGGAACTGATTCCATCACAGACTGAGTTACCTGGGCAGTTAGGACCCCTTCTCCACTTACCCTGCAACGATGTTCTTGATAGGCTAACACTGCACCGAGGCCCAGCAGAGTCCCCATGACCCTCCAGCTCTTGCTGCCAGAGTTACTTTCAGAGGAGGTGAGGCTGGGGTGTTGGGAGTGAAAGGAATCATTTGTAGAGCAGGCCCGAATGCAGAGCCTTGCGGTTGATCTGAGTCTAGGAGAGAGAAAGAGGGATTCTTCATAGTACACGTCCCCTGACCATATGAAAGGCCCAGAGAAGACCTGAGGTCGACCTCTCCCGGCTAGCGTTTCTCTGGGCTGGAACTTTTCTCCAGAGATGAACGGAACAAGTGTCCTCCTTTTCCTCTCTTGCCACCCTCAAATCTATTAAAGGCAATAAACTTTCCCCTCGTAGATAAGATAAGACATCATAAAGATACCAGGGATGGGCTATGAGATGGCTTACCTGGAGGCCTGCTGGAGTCCAGAGATCCCAGCTCTTCGAAGCAGCAACAGCAGCATTGTGGGAGGCCTACCTGTAGGAGGTAGGTACAGGGAGAGCGCTGGGAGTGTTAGGGAGACTTGAGGGAACTGGCAAAGACAGAGAAGGTAAGTTAGGAGCTCCTTGAGAAACGAGGAGACTTGGTGAGCAGGCAAACATGGGTGCTAAGAGGAAACTTGGAGCAGTTCAGAGACAAAGGCTGTGCTGAGTCTTCCAGAATCACTATCACCTATCCTCACTCTTTATCCACTATAGAACAGT